CCTTTCCCCAAAAAAAACTGACTAAATCTCACTAATTATACTGGGCATTACCTGTTAATCTTATTTGCTAGCACCTTAGCGAGAATATTGTATAAAGAACCAATCAAACTAATAGGCCTATACTCATTCAAACTAGACGGATTATCAGATTTTGGAATTAGAGTAATAAAGGAGCTATTAAGCCCTCTGACCAAGCTTGCATTCTGATGAAATTCTCTCATGAATTAAAGCACATCATATTTTACAATGCCCCAACACTTCTTGAAAAATGACATGTTGAACCCATCAAGCCCAGGGGCCTTATTGCCCTTATAACTCTTGATTACCTCTCTGATTTCCTCCTCTATGAAATCAGCCTCCAATTGTTCCACCACTTGAGCACCACCAATGTTTTTAAAAGGACTAGATAATTTAGGTTTGTGACTCCAAGATTCAGAGAATAATCTCATGAAATGAGTCTTAACTTCTTCCTGAATTCCCAAAGGCTCCTCAATTAATGATCCATTCACAAGAATTGAACACAAAGAATTTCTACTATTTCTAGTGAAAGCCAAAATGTGGAAATATCTAGTATTTCTATTGCCTTTAGATGCCTAGTTACTTCTAGATTTTTGCAACCAAATCCATTCTAACATTTCACTGAGTCTCCAAGCTTCACTCCTAACTTCCTTTCTTCTAACCTGTTCTGGAGCAAGAAGTGATCTTTCTTCAGCTAATATATCAAGTGCATGAGCTTCATCTTCTACATTTTTAAGCTTAGCCTCAATCTTACCAAACACCTCCATGTTCCACTGTTTTAATGCTTGTTTCAATGCTTTGAATTTCATAAGACACTTAGACCCTGCCCACCCTTCCACCGTAAGCTCTGACTAGGTTTGCTCCACAAAAAGGCAAAAATCAGAGTGTAATAGCCAGGCATTAATAAACCTAAACAGCCTACGGCCCCAGTCCCTATCATCCTCCATTAAAATAACGGGACAATGGTCAAACCGTAGTCTAAGAAGACCCAATAATTTGAAATTGAAGTTTTGCACCCATTCATGGTTAAGTAAGAATCTATCTATTCTACTCTACTTCTCTCTATCTTGGGAATTACACCAAGTGAACTTCCTCCCAAGCATGGGCATATCCATCAATTCCAATTGATCAATCATACAATTGAAATTCCTTATCCCCCTATCTCGTTTGGAGCACCCAATCCTTTCTAAAATGGTTCTGATTTCATTAAAGTCCGCTCCTATACACCACGGCCCCAAAAAAATGGATTTTAGCCTGATTAAACACTCTCACACCTCTTTTCTTTTTGCCACCTCATTAGGACCATAAACATTGATGACAACACACTCAAAACTATGAAAAATTGTACCTGAGAGCAGCAAAAAATTATGGCTGCAACAGCTAGCCTTCAATTGAAAGACATCTGGGTTCTATATGCATAGCAGTCCTCCAGCTCTACCAATTGCATCAACATACATGAACTCAAAGTAGTCACCCAACCATATAGTCTTTACCAACTCTGAATTGACTTCTGATTTCTTTGTTTGTTGAAGTAAAACAATATCCACTCTTCTTTTAGCAAGAATTTTCTTAACCTTTCTCCTTTTCTCTGGTCGCTCAATCCCTCTCACATTCAATGATTGTATCTTCATTCAACATTACTAAACACTCTGTACCCCCTGGTTTTGCTAAATTAATTAGCATCACCATCCCTTGTCCTTGCTCTATCCAAATCTTGAGCATCCAAATCTTATAAATGGCTTATCACCTCATCTTCTTTCCCTTTATAATCAATGCCAAGAGCTTTACCGATTTCAAGTGATGCTTTCACCTCCGACAGCGCTAGCCTTTCTTGGCTAGATTTTCTTGCTATGAAGAGTGAAATAGCAGCAGCCGCAGACCTAAAAATTACTCATTTCCGTAAGTTTAAAGATGATGCCCCCACATTTTTATCACCAACCAACTTCCCTTTTTTCTTCCTTTGCTTACGACACATTACTTTCCCTTGCCCCTTCAATGTATGCTTTCTGTTTGGAATTGGATTGACCACTCTTTTTTCTTGCGTTTGTGAGTACCCACCTCCCTTTGGGTTTGGGTTTTAGAAACATTTGAAACCTGAGTGTTGCAAAGCTCTTTATAGCCCAATCCATTACTTTGTATAGGAAGTAGGCCAAATTTAATAGGGCCTTCTATTACATGGGATCTGGGCTGGTCTTCTGCTAAATTAATCCCAAGCCTACTCTCAATTGGGCCATCATTCAGATGGGTTAAATTCAAATCCACATCCAATTGAATCGATTGCCTAATACCTTTTGAGCCACTGATGCTTCTAATAAAACCAGGTGTGAAAACGTCTCCATCAACCCTTTGACTTCCATCAGCATCATTCATTTTGGAACACGCTACCTTGCCTATAGAGCCACCTCTGCGTGCGTCACCTTCCTCTGATGCATTTTAGACACCACACACAGAGACAGACAGAGAGAGAGAGAGAGAGAAGCACAGTATTGCTAAAGATATATGATGAAAATGAATGAATTATGAAAAAAAGGGTAAAAATGACTTTTTATATTTTGATTTCAATTTAATTCCAAAAATCTTTTTCACCTACTCTTGAAATTGGCAAGTGTAGTGCACCTTCTGTCAATTTATACAGAAAATCTAATAGTCGCACTTTTTTCCTTCTTTTTTACAATCTCATTGTTCCATTCACAAGATAGCTTCCTCCCAAAACAACAGATAAAATTCATTATTGAGACATCAAAGGAAATGGCTAATGAATAAAAAGTTTTTTTGTATTGGCTCAATGGGCTACCTAGTGATAATGGAAATTTTTTTATTTTTTATTTATTTTTAATAAGATTCAAACAAAAAAAGATGGCCTAAAATTATTTCTCAAAATATAATATTTTCGTATGTTACAAGGACAAAATGACATAAAAATGATGATTTCAATGTTTTTCGACCGATTTGAAAGAATAATGAGAATTAACAACGACATAATGAGTTGTCCAAGAAAAATTAAGCAGGCTCGAAATCTCACACGAGTTATAATCTTTGCGTTAAATATCAAGATTTCAAGTCTAAAGTCCAACAATTAATCAAAAAATATTTATGTGCTTATGTGCATGTGTAGATTAATCTGAGATGAGAAAGAAAATTATTTATAATCAAAAATAGTATAATAAACTAAGATATAATTAAAATACTAAGACAACAAAATTAACAATTAATTACAAAACTTTTTTTTTTAAAACACGGCACACGCACACAACACAAAACATTGTTTCGATTTAACTTTGCACACAAACGTTTTTTTTTTCTTTTTTTCAAAACACAATCAAAAATAAAAATAAAAATAAACACACAAAATAAATACAGACCATACCCTTTGTTCTAACTTAAATGTCATTGTTCTCAATGGCACATATCACAAAGAACTAACAAGAATAATGAAAGGGGAGGAAAACACAACAAAAATAAAAATATATATCACCAAGATGCAAGAGAAAGATATCCCCAACTTGAAGGAAAGAGTACCTACAAAATGGTGAGACAATAAACACAAATAAAATTGTATTTATTTATCATTATTATTAGTGTTTTTTTTTTTGTTAGTTTTTTTATATGATCAATTTTTTTTTGAACTTATTTTATTTTTTGAACTTCGCTCTATCAAAGCGTCGAGCGTCATCTTAATCATGTCCTTAACCTCTCTCTTTCTCTTGGCCTTTCCTCGCCCGAAGCAGCGATTGTTGCGTCGAATTGCAGAAAATTCAACAACTGGGGTGCCTGCATTGATCTTCTCTATCTATGTCCATTTCTTCCTTATCATTTTTCTCTTTTTCCTTATCTTTTCTTCCTCTATCAAAGCATTGAGCACTGTGTCTGAATCCACGAATTCAATAACTGTAATGACTGCGACATAGTTGGCCTCAATCTTCTCCCATCGATTATCTCACCTCTTTTGTTTGTTTTCTTTTCAATTGTGCACATTTGGTATCAATCTCTGGCTGGTATAAATCGTAATCCCTGGTCGGGATGCCAACCAAGCTCTATCCTAGCAGGTAATGGAAACAACAAAGTGAAAAGCTGTAAAGGTTCATCTGTTCTAGTTCAAACCTTTCTTCGTTGATATGGCATCTTCTCGTCCTCTCACCCTATTCCCTGACCTCAACAAGACTCCAGAGAAGGTACGTGATACTGCCTCCGAGCTTCCTCAAAATGCCCAGGGCCTTGCATTTAGGGAAATTATTCAATAATCCCGGAACACCATGTTGTCATACTCCAAGCTGATCACTAATTACTTAACCCCATGTTATTCCCCCATCCCCAATATAAATCGTGAGCCCCTATGCCTCTCTACCAATCAAACCTTATGGAGCACCAGGTGTCTATACTCTGGGAATACTGAATAATCACCCCTGCATTCAACCCAGTAGTGCCACTTAATCACCTACTAGCAACCATATCTGACAGGGATTCTAATTCCCACACACTAGAAATGTGTGTAGAGTCCTTCACTGTAGTGTCAAATTTGACCCATCAATTACAGAGCAGGACAAATGAAGTACAACGGCTGACTGCACAACTCTCCCTCTTCCAGCTTATATACCAAGACTCTCGATGGGAAATTAGCCAACTGAAGAAACAGAATAGAGAACTGAAGAGAAAGACAACAACAATGGCCCGGAATTTGGTGCCCTGGTGTACTTCATTTGATGGCCAACAGGATGTAATCTCCTTCGAGAATCTTGCAAATCCGGAGGTAGGGCCTTCAAGGACTTCATAGAATGAATCTAAATTTCTCTATTTTTTTATTAAAAACAAAATATTTTTAGATATGAAATAAATGACAAAAAAAAAATGTACACAAACTAAACAACCGAAAAAAATAAAAATAAAAATAAACATCTATGAAATAAAAATATGTATAAAAAAAACTAAAATAAAAATTTGTCTTTTAACGTTAAATTCCAAGATGATAAGAAAATCAAACACAACTAATTCTTCAAAAAGATCAAGAAAAAGAATGATTAGAAAACTATGTACACAATTATCATTTCTCAAAGGAGAGATTCAAGGGGGATCCAAGTAAGTAGTTACTCGGTTTGGATCATTCCCTACAAGCATTGGTGGAATAGTTTCTAACAAAAAAAATTAACAGAATTAAGCACACTATCCTCGTCAAAATCATTAAAATGGGTCAGACCCGCTTCAAGAGGATCAATAGAAGATATGAGAGAAAATTGTTCATGCATAGTAGTCTTAATCATGTTTACCTCCATAGTATCATCATCATCCACATTCGGAATTCTAACATTGAAAATGTTCAATTCAACAATCATATTGCCGAAGATAATTGCATGGCACTACTCCTACAATTAAACAAAGCATTTGATGTTGCAAGGAATGGGCGACCTACAATGACTGGAATTTGAGTGCTTACCTACGCCACTAGGTGTGTGTTCAAGACAATGAAATCAACAGGAAATTAAAATTTGTCTAGTTGGACCAACACATCCTCCACTACTCCCCTTTATTTTTTCACAGAACAGTCAACTAGTTATAGTGTTATTGAGGTCGGCTTTAGCTCTCTTAAACCTAACTGTTCATAAACCGAATAAGGCAAGAGATTCACACTAGCCCCAATATCGAGTAGAGCTCACTCTATCCTATGATTTCTAATCACACACGAAATTGTGGGGCATCTTTGATCTTTATACTTTAGGGGGGAATTTTGTTGAACTATTGCACTCGTTTCTCCAAAAAGGCTTCCTTCAGTACATTAAGCTTTCGCTTGACCGTACATAAATCTTTCAAAATTTTGGCATATGACGGGATTTGTTTTATCGCATCCAACAGGGAGATGTTGATTTTGACTTGTTTAAGAAGTTCAAAAATTTCAGAATTTTGGTTCACCTTTTGAGGTGGCTACAACCTTTGAGGAAAATGTGCAGGAAAAGGACACTTCATTTCTTCACTTGGGTTGGATTTGTCAATATCATCACTAATGGTCTCTGAAACATTCTTAGGCTTTGTGGCCTTCGTAGGAATAGTTTTATGAATAATTTTTCCACTGCAAAGAGTAGTAATAGATTTGACATGCTCAATCTGAGATTCAGAAGATGAAGAATCACTCACACCATATTGACCTTGTGGATTGGGTTATGCTTGAGCAGGAAATTAACCTTTTTCCAGAATGCTCAATGTAGAAGTCAACTTGATGAGGGCGTTCTTAATATCATTTATTGCTTGAGTTGTCTGATTATTGATTATTGTCTGGCTTTGTATGAATTATTGCAATGTGACCTCAAGGGATTTCCGCAGTGGTGGTGCTTGGGGAGAAAAATTAGAAAGCCCTTAAGATGGGACTGGTGCAACATTGTTATTCCTTCAACTAAAATTTGGGTGATTTTGCTACCCTAGATTGTAAGTCTCAAAATAGAAAGATTGGGTAGGGTTTGTAAAAAGGAGTCCGGATCCTCTGCCGCCTTATCCTACGGTAGTCGCTGTGGCGTCCCAAAATGATGTCATTTTGGGGCAAAATTTCACAAAAATAAATAAATAAAACCAAATACACAGAATCAGAGAAGAGAAAGAGGGGAAGAAGAAAGACGAGGTCTCCTCACGAACGGACACACCTATTTTCTTTTTTGATTATTTTTCTTCCTTTTCTCTATATTCTTCTCTGCTCTCAAATCCTAAGCACCTCACGAACGGACAAACAGAGAGAGGAGGTCACCGTTGACGGTCAGACAACAGGGCGACGGTGACAACGGCGGAGACACACCTGAAATCCAAATATATAAATATTAAAAAAATTGAATCAATTTCCATGGAAAAGTAAACATCAAAGCAGGGAACCTCAATTTTCAATTGTAGAAATGAAAAGAAAAATATTGATCCTGGTTGTGTTGTTTTTCTTAAGCAAGAATAGTGAATATTTCTGCTAAATGAAAAAAACAGAAGTGAATATTTGGGCAATCCAGAGCTAGGGTTTCTTGGAATCGTGGGTTCTGTAATGTTATCTCTAGGTGTTGAGTGAAATATATATATATATATATATATGTATTATACATATGTATCTATGTGTGTCTATTAGTGTTTAGATATATAAGATAGTGAATGCAAATATGGAAGGGTGAGGTTCAAGTGTGTCGCCACCACCGTCATCATCACCTCGTTGTCTGATCATCAACGGCGACTTCGTAGGTTTGAGAACTTAGACAGAAAAGGAATGAGGAAAAGGGAAGGAAAGGGGAAGGGGGGGGGGGGGAAAGGTCCAAAATGACATAGTTTTAGACCACTGCAAGGACAGCTGTAGGAATGGGCAACAGATGATCCGGACTCTTGTAAAAGTATTTATGGAATTTGATTCATCATGCAACACTTCTTTGAAAGTCGGAATAGTTGGACACTCATATGTCAGATGTCCCATGGCCTCACAAATTCCAAAGACATTTCCTATTTTGGCCAAAGTTGTGATCTCATTGAATTTCTTTAGCTCCATGGCCTCTAGTCTTCTAGTTAAACCCGCTAGTCTTGCACTCAAATCATCATCATCCTTTAAATGGTACTTACCACTGCCTAAAATTGTAGAGGAGTTGGTTTTATTTGAATTTGTCAAAGGCTCAGTAGTATCCGAAGATTGAGCATTTTTAGCTAATAGGTCAAAATATCTAAAAGCTTCTTCTGGATCTTTGTTTAAAAATTCACCATTAGACATCATTTCTACAAATTCACGAATTTGAGGAGTCAAACTCTCATAAAAAAAATTCAACCACACGCCAAGATTCATAACCATGATGTGGGCAAGAGTTTAACAAATCTTTAAAACGTTCCCAACATTGATAAAAAAAAAATAATAATAATAAAAAAAAATAAAAAAATGTCTCACCTTCTTTTTGGGAAAAATTGATAAGTTGTCTTTCTAAAGAATTTGTTCAATGAATTGGAATAAATTTCTTTAAAAACTCAGTTTGTATTTCTTGCCAAGTACTAATCGATCCAGATCTTAGAAAATTAAGCCATGTTTTTGTTGTTAAAAAGGGAACAATTTTAGCCTAATAATCTCCTCACTACAATTTTGAACAATGAAAGTAGCACAAACTTCCTCAAATTCCTTAATGTGCAAATAGGGATTTTCAGATTCAAGATCATGGAACTTAGGAAGCAATGGAATCGTGCCCGGATGAAAATTAAAATCATTTGCAATAGGAGGGACAATAATATATGATGGAGCACTACTTTTTGTAGGTTACAAATAATCATGCGAGGTTCGAATGGGTTGGGCCACTTGCATTTGGTTTTCTTCATTTTCATTATTACTATTATTTATCGTAGTGTCAAGTGTGTAAGGGTGTGCCAATAATTCAATTTCAAACTCAAAAAGACTATCAAATAATGTGTCTAAATTAGAATCGATACTTACCAAACGACCAAAATGATCACAATACCAAAATGACATACACTAAACTAAATCAAATTAAATCACCTGCAAAATAGAAAGAAGAGTTATCACAAATAATTAAACAATAAAGAAAAATAAAAAAAAATTAGGAGGTGTAACCATCTAAAAAAAAAAAGAAATTTAATAATAATAAAATTAAATAAACAAAATTGATAATTATTTATAGGCGGTGGAATTAAAACCAGCCACGAGATATACAGATTTTTTTATTTTTTATTTTTTATTTTTTATTTTTTTAGTCCTCTTCAAACTTAGATAAATCTCTGGCAACAGTGGCAAAAATGCTTGTTGGTTTTATTGTTCACTGCAATTGCGTTCCCAAGCGTAGGAAAATATCATTGTCAAGCATAGTAATTCTTGGAAGTGCCAACGTCATTTCCACTAGATTTATTGCACAAGTCTAAAGAGTTTATAAAATTTTAGTTTGATGCAGAGTTTGAATTGGTCACAGAAAATTTAATGTGGTTGTTTATAAAAATTTTAATGACACTAAGGTTTAGAGATTCACTCACAGCAAGTAAAATGGTATTTGCCAAAAATTCTAACTTCATAACTCAATTGAGATTCATCCGTGAGTCTTAGTTTTTGTGAGTACAGAGCATAAACTTTGATTCGTTGTGCAATCAAAGAGAGTGGTATCTTCGTTTGTGGTGATTGTTGTATTCTGGAAACAGGACGTTCATTATTCTCAACCACCATTGGAGAGGACAAAATTATATCCTAAGGACACAGTAGTTTTAATCACAAACTTGTTCATAAACAATCTGCAGAAGTATTGTAAGTTTAATTTTGTTATTTTTTTATTATTTATTATTTGCTTAAATTAATTATTTGTCGAAATTATCTCCAACAATTTTAAGATAGAATTTCTTTTACTATTTTGTGTATTATAGTATTGATTTTTTTGTTAAAATTAATTTTTGGCAAATTTGTTTTCTTATTTATAATGTATTAAAACTCTGGATTTATACTGTTTGGTTTATTTATTACACATTTGTTTACTAATATTTAATGTATAACTCGTTTTCGGTCAAATTTTAGTTTTAAGTTTAGAGAATGATACAATATTTATTTCTGGGTTTACTACTTTCTCCATTGAGTTTCATTTACATTAAAACTCTTATTTGGTTTTCTATATTGTATCATTAGATTTTTTTTTTTTTTTTTTGTTAAGAAAAAGATTTGCTTTACCGTATTAGTGTTGTCATGGGATTCTATTTTCTTTTAGTATAATTGTTATAGGTGTGGCCTTTCAATACTATTAAGACAATATTGTTTTATCCGTAACAGTGTTTTGGTGAAATTCTATTCTTCTATTTTCTGGTTCTGGTATTATTTCCATAATATTGGTTTTTGGGAACATGGCTGTTGCTAATAAGTTTTTCAACCTAAATTAAAAAATTTACTGAATTTAATTGATTACTGTTTGGTGGACATTTTTAATTTGGCAAAAAAAAAAAAAAAAAAAATTTGTTTATCCAAATCCACTTTACAATAGAACTCTATTTTGTTGTCCTAATAATTTGTAGTATACTAGATTATTTGGACACTTATTTTTACATTGTTTTATTATTTGGGTATTGTGAAGTTTACAATATATATATAAATTTATTTTTATAGTTACAATGGAATCTTCTTTTTAACATAAAAAAAAATAAAAAATACAAAAAAAATTGTTAATTAGAAATGGCTACAGAAAGTACTGTTGCACCGGGAAATACTAGGTTGCTTCTATTCCGACAGTTGTTGGACATGGTAATGTTCCTGCCAATCATGGAGAAAAACTTGAAAAATTCAGTGGTACAGATTTTAAATGTTGACAACAGAAAATGTTATTCTATCTGACCACCTTGAATTTGGCAAGGTTTTTGTGAGAAGATGCTCTATCTTTGAGTGAGAATGAAAGTGACACATAAGTTGTTGCAGCGGTGGATGCATGGAAACATACAGATTTTCTTTGCAGAAACTATATCCTCAATGGTTTGAATAACATGGATTTCAAAATAGTGATCAATCAAGTCCAAGAATTTCAAGTTATCCTGTATGGAAGCTACTGTTGAAAAATTAATGTCGACTTGGAGGGATTTCAAAAACCATTTAAAACATAAACGCAAAGAGATGTCACTAGAGGATTCGATTGTTCTCTTGCAGATTGAAGAGGATAATCGTGGTTCTGAAAAGAAAAATAGGCATCCTCTCATGGAACCCAAGGAAAACATTATAGAACATAAGCCAAAGTTCAACAATAGGAAAATGAAGCATCTTGGAGAGAGCTCTAAGAAAAGTGCTAAAAGTGGAGAGAGACAGAATTTTAATAGCAAGTGTTTTGTATGTGACAAAGTGGGGCATCGTTCCAAGGATTGTCACAAAAGGAGGACTCAAGGGAACTATAAGAAAAAAAACCCGCTCAAGCTAACCTAACTTAAGAAGAGAATCTTTATACAACTGTTTCACACTTGAATGTATCCAGTGTCGTGTCTGAAGTGCATTTGGTGGACAACCCCAAAGCATGGTAGGTGGACACAGGCTCTACTCACCACATATGTTTCAAGAAAAAGATGTTCTCATCATATCATGTAGCAGAAGATAGAGAACAACTCTATATGGAGAATTCTTTGACTTCCATAGTTGAGCGACAAGGGAACATGGTGTTAAAGATGGTGTCGGGGAAAGAACTCAGTCTCAAAGATGTGGTATATGTACCAAATATTCGAAAGAACCTGGTTTCTGGATCATTGCTTAACAAGAATGGGTTTAAATTAGTGTTTGAGTCTGATAAGTTTGTACTCACCAAAAATAGAATGTATGTAGGAAATGGGTACATAGGCGATGGGCTCTTTAAACTTAATGTAATGACTGTTGTTCAAAAATTTAATGAAACTGACACATCTTCTACTTACTAGCTTGAGTCTTCTTGTGTGTGTGTAGACACCCCATTTTTGACCGACCTTAAGACTCAGACGTCACCAATTGAGTGCTTGGTGATGATGCATATTGTGCTCGTTCTGGGGTTTCAAAGTCTCGGCTGCGAGCCTTGCCTCCGGACTTCGGAGCCTTTTGCGCCTTGCCTCGGTTTGCGAACCAGGTCCTATTTTTTCTGTTTTCTCTTCCCAAAGGGGGAGAGGTCTCGTAGACCATCTCTCAGTGGCCATAGGCTACGTTTCATGGTCGTAGGCCATTTTTCCCGTTTAGAGACTAGTTTCCGGTTTTCGGAGCCATCGGCCGTGTGCATCGATTCGAGACCGCTTAACTACCTCCGTTTGCTCTGGTTTCTGGCACACACCTTGTTTCCTCTCTTTTGAGGGACACTGTGGCCCGAGAGACCACCTTCGTGGTCACACGCCACTTCCGATACCTAACAGCCTGTTTTCGGGGCCCTAGGTCGCGTGTTTTGGCCCCCGAACCGTCGTTTTGCATCGGTTAGGGTTCATTTTTGGTATGGACCCTATTTTCATTGTTAAGAAGGTGGTAGGATGGTGGGAGACCAGCAATTCTTTTGAAAATTATTTTCTCTCTCCTCCAAGCCGGTTTTCTTGACAGAAAGCTGGTTTTTCTCACTTTTAGACCTTAATTTCTGGTCTCCCATACCACCATTGTGTTGTACTCATTTGGGAGACCACCAATATGGGTAGGCCGACTAGCTTTTCTTCCTGACCCTTTTGAACCTTGCTAGAAAGCTGATTTTTCTCTCCCGTAGGTCACATTTTCTGGTCTCCCACTATACAGCTGTATTCTACTCATCTGGGAGGCCACCTTTCTGGTATGGCCGACCAGCATTTCACCTTGACCCTTTTGACCCCTGGTTGGCCGACCAGGGAAAGTGGTCGGCCGACCACCTTGGCTGGTCGGCCAGCCTTCTGCTTTTTGGCCTTCTTGAGTGCAATACAGTTGTGCCAACTGTGTAGCACTTGACCCACTGTCCGAGATTTTAAGCCTTTTGTTGGTATTTTTAAGTTGGTTTTGACCCTTTTGCTTAGCTTCTTACTTGAGGAAGCTTGACCCTTTTGGTCTAGCTTCTTCAAGAAGCTTGACCTTTTTTGGTTAAGCTTCTTTGAGAAGCTTTGACCCTCTCTTGAGGCTTCTCCAAGAAGCCTTATCTCTCTCCCTCTATAAAACAAACACTCCCCCTCCATTTGCAAGGGTTAGACACATTTGGCTGAGGCTTATACACTCCACCCTCCATAGCTCTCTTCTTCAAGCTCCAAACCCTAATATTCTTGGCCATTTACACTACACCTCCTAGCCTACCACCTTCACCATCCATCCAAGCATCTTGGAACTGTTTTTTAGAGGTTGAAGACTCACCTTCTTGGTCCAGAACTTGCTGCATTGTT